GTGAGCTACTTTCCCTGACTGTATATTGATGTCTTCATGATTAAGTCGAATAACGATAAAAGCTATACTTTTTAAGCAACAACAATAAAGTAACATTATTTTATTTTATTAAATTTTAGGAATTCTATTAAGTAATATATTTTAATTTTTTTTTTTTTTAATTGTCTTAAATGAACAATAATTTATTGGTAACACAGAATTCGATAATCTTACTTTTTATTTTATAGAGACATATGTAAAAAAAATATATGTACAAGATGTTCCCTGATTTTCTGTACAAACTTTAAGTATGTTCTATAAGTTAATTGTGAGATAAGAAATCTGTTACATGAACATATATCCTAAAATATTTCATTAAAAAGTTATAACCGAAATATAAAATATGTATAAAAAAAACAATTTTATCCAACAATAAATTTGCATTTGAAAGTACTATCCGTTTATGTCAATACAAGTTTGACATGATGTAATTTTGAATTACCATTTTGCTCGGAAATAGAGGCAAGCAAAATATTTGGAAAAATGTTCTTGTTATATAAAATAAGTAAACCAAAAAATTCTGATCATATCAGTTACAATTCTGGTCATTTTAACTATATAAAATTATAATAGATTCAACCAGAAAATTCTGATTTGTTCATTTTAAACCAAAATTCCAATTAATATATAACCAGACTTTTTTTTAGTGAGAAAATCTTCTAAAGATTCCATTTGATGATTTCGAATTGACATCAATTCGATGTCGGTTCCATTGTCATTTCTCACTGGGGTGCTTTTATTATAGATAATTAATAATAAGGAAATTTTTTAAATTTGCAAGTAAAATAATATCAATGAATAATCGTTATCCGACTTAATAGAATATTGCGTAGTGAGAATGCACATAAACGCGCGATTGTTAAATATATATATTAATTATGGACAAACGACGAAAAACTGTATATTGAACTATCGGCCCGAAGGGTGCGTAAGTAATTTGATAAATATACAACTGCCTGCGATAATAAGCTGATTAAACGAATGATCACATTAATTGATTCTGTATATAACAGTGTTAGTCTAAGGAGAGACCTGTTCGCATGAGTCTAATCTGCATTGTCCAGTTTAAGTGTAAATTCTTGTAATTTTTTATTTTAAAGCTCCGGATGGATAGACTTACTAATTACTTTGTCCTAGTTAAAGATTCTCCGATTCTATCGGGTCGAATCATATCTTCTCGTCGTCGCTATGTCTTGGAAAACGTTACTTAAATGATATAACAATATAAGTCTAGAAAGATACCGTTATGCAGACTTGTTTTAAAAACTATTTGAATATTATTTAAACAAAATACATTACTCTTAGAAATTGGTCAAAAACATTGACTTGTATATATTGTCAGTGTTTACGAACAGCGGAAATGTACTCGAATGCATTAAACATGTATCTTAAAACGATTAATTAACGAAATGACGATATACCGCTGCGCGGTACAATCTATAGTAAAGTTCCACAGGCTCGTTTAGTAATCAATATAATTATTGATAGTTTGATACATATATCTACGTGTCTGAGATCGATATATTTAACTAGAAAACCGTGGAAAAAATTAATATATATATATATATACACATATATAATGGCTACAGTCTACTTGATGCTATAAATACTTAGCAGCATTTTTTATTGCTCAATTAGTAAACTTCTATCTACTGATTGATCAATTAAACCTTTCGAAGCATTTATTTATAGCACCAAATGGACCATATCCATAATGTTAGATGCGAATGAAAATTCTCGGATTACCGTGTAAACAACCGTTCTCGATCACGGAATATTCAATTTTAAAACAGAGTTTTATATTATCGTGCCAAATCGATGTTAGTATAAAAAAGAATCGTAAAAAGTCAACAAATATACCTTAGATATTATAATTGCGAATCGTATTTTATAGGATATTAACAACAGCACGAGAATCGTTGTCTCTTGAAATAAATCGGTATATATTAATTGTAAGCACGGATAAGATTTTGTAAATAAGAAGAAAAAATTAGATATGTAATATGTAACATGATTATATGTAGCGGGCGATATTATTAAATGTGCGAAAGCAGCGGCTTTAAAAAGTCATATATATATATATATATATACATATATATATATGTATGTATGTATTTATTCTCGCGAATAAGATTCAAATTAAATGTAAACAGTTCTAGTTTTTTTCAAACTTCATATTGCAAATTCTCGCTTAAGCTCCATTATTTTTTATATTTGTGTAATAGTTATATTGTCGCATTACAAATATTTCATTTCTATATATAAGAAGAAAACGAAGATTCAAGTGGAGACTGAAAAAGCGATGCATACAGCAATTGTATTATAATTAATTCCAAAAATTAGATGTAATAATTTAAAAATTGTATATTTATCATTACGACAAATATTATTTTCTATGTAAATAATATTATGTATGTAAAACCAAGTTCTAACTTACGCCGTCGCATGTATAGTATTTTCCGACACAACCTTGAACTTTAAGAAAAATTACGCCTAATTGTAATATATATTGCTCATCTATTGATTGCCTTTCTTTTTAACTTTCTTACATGTCACTAAGTCATTAACGCACGGGATCGTTTCAACCTAATATTTTTTTGCCCAAAATGCACTATGTGCAAGCATTAACACGTAAGAAGGAAAACGGTAGCGTAAGTTGCAACAAATCGAGAAGCATAAACTAATATTAATTGTTTTCAAAGCTGAAATACTTACACGCGTATCTTTCCGCTGCGAGAATTTCTTTTATTTTTTAAAAGAAAGGAATATTTAGTAACTCGGAAATTCCTAAAATTCTAAAACTTTGTAAAAATAAAGTATAATATATATAAAATATAATCACGTAATAATTTTATATTTTGGCAAATGAATAATTTTATGAGAGTGAAAACATCTCTAATTGATATACAAAGTTATAAAAAGTTTGGATATTTGAGATATTATATTTGATTATTATCGTTTAAAAATTATGTTATTTATATATAATAGATTAAGAGGAAACAAACAATAAAGAGTTGTTTTAATCTCTCATTATATTATTGTAGGCCATGAACTTTTGTATTTAATATTTTTCCAATATTTTATAATTTTTTCTGAGATATTAACAGAAATATGAAAAGTCAGATCAGTCTTTTTGTAAGGGTATAATTATAGAGTTCATATATGTACCTTACTTTACAAAATTTCAGAATTTGAAAAATTTTAAGAATTGCGAAATCTTTGTCATATTTGAAAAAAAAGAGCATTGTTACTGTCACTTTATTTTCCATGTTCTAACGAGTTTTTTCTAGTCGACAGTTTTATGGGCGCCTAAGTGTATTCATTTATTTTTCCAATTTCACGCCCCGAGATCGCCTATCCGTTTTCGGACTAAAGAAGTGATGTCGCTAATCGCAACAAGCAGCGATATTAAATTTCGCTTGTATGTATTAATCTCCTCGTATGTTAAATCGTCGATAGATTTAACGAACTTAGACTGATTAACGGGTCTCTCCGCAGAGATGCGAATTTTTTTATAAGCGTCGCACGCATCGAAAACGTGCGACGTGAACATCATACGTCAATTAATATAAAACTTAAGTTAATCCACGACCATTTGTGGATGTTATCGGGTCCGCAATGCGCTGTTGCCCGTGTTAAACATTTACGTCATATTAAACATTTTTAGGAGAATTCACGTAACTATTTTTGGTTACGATTTTAAAGTAATTACTACTACTTAAATGTAGCTGTCAAGTCATTCCGTTTGTAACTAGATGTTAATCCCTTACTATATTCGCTTCCATGTTAATCTTTACTGGCTGAAATAACGACAGAATAATTTTCAAATCTCTGCTTTGTTTTTTATACCTTTCTTTATAAAAATAGAAAATCATTCTACGGCTAGATAATAAATGTTGTTTTATTCATTTATTAATTTTATACAATAGCTTAAAAACTTAGAAAAAAAAATAACTCAAATTAAATTTCTTCTGCAATCACAATACTTGACACGTATATATTCAAATTATATATATTCTAAAACTTCCAAAGATAGTAATCACGTCAATAAGTTTATTTGTTTTTGTAATTTATTTAGAGATGTTAAATTAATTTATGTAATTTATTTATTTGTAAATGATGCGATTTGTGTAAAAAAATCACAACCCCTTTTCAATTTTGTGATAAAATCAAATTACTTTGTATGTGTTATGTGAGTGCGTGTGAAATCATATTCATCAAATGTATTTCAATCGAATAAGAATCAATACTATCAGTGACTGCCATTCATTATTTCATCAATGATAATCATTCATAAACATTTTAGAGACACTTGGATACAATTATTTCGTCGAAAACAAGTATCGGAACTAGCACATTCGTACCTCTCTTTTATTAATAATTAATCATTCTACGTTATTATATTATGTGAGTTTAATTATGTTATAATACAGTTTATTATATGTTTAACATATTCTCTAATAAATGTTGTCAACAAATTACTTTTGTTGTATAATCAGAACTAAGTAGTGTAGCTGATTAATTTTATAATCCTTTCCTTTTATAATATTCATCAATTTTCCATGCAAGAACAGGAATAACAATTATAAAATACACGAATTAAACAGTGACAAATATTTTGACAATTTTAGAAAATTTGACAAAATATTTGTACATAGCTTTTATGTTTTAATCAAAAAACTTAATACATGATTATGTCATATGCTTTTCTCTGATACTAAAGATAAAAAACGAAGAATGAGATTGATTCAAATAAACTGCCTTTGTATGAAAAATATAATGTACATACAAAAATCGAAAAATGTGCTAATTATAATGAATGCTAGAAAAATACGATTTATACAATGCGCACACACATACATACCCACATTACTTGAAAAAATAATTAGTTCACTAATTATACTAATGAATTTGCAAAAATATATATATATACATATTATATATAATATACATATATACATCTCACATCACAAGAAAATTATGTACAATTATATCACGGTTTATTATATCGAACTCGCTGCCGATCCTGATGGCCGTAATACTCGTTAAAAATTAATTTACATAGAAACAAATGGAACACAACTATCAGGAAACATATGCTAACCCAAAATAATGTGGGTAAGCCTCCGAGTTGATGTCCGTGTTTGTGCAAAGCCATCACCTGGTGATCGTGTGCAGGCGCTACAAAGAAAAAACATATATTAATTAAAAATAAAAATATATATACTGATTAATAATAAATTTCAATGCTTAAAACATTAATTTTTTTACTTTAATATTTTATTATTAAAAAATGAAATTTTTCCGTAAGAATAAAAATTATCAATCTTTGTATTATAAAATTTTTCATTAAAACATAAAGATTTTCTGAATTGATCAGGATATGTGCAATTAAGTTCTTAACCTACCATCGTCTACTTCGTGTACGTGCAGAGCATTACGAAGATCTTGCATATGTTGATGATCAGACGTTATGTAAAGTATCGCAGTTAGTGGCTTTGTCAACTTTACGGGAAAATTTGTATAAGTCTGGTCGAGGGGAACTGGCGCGTCCAAACAACCGGCATCACATCCGAAATAAACGCTATCACTTTTATCCAAAGCTACTCCTAATATCGCGCGATTATCTTCACCAACCGTTACAGATATATTTACATGTGTTAAATTTCCATAACTTATACGCCTGAAAGTGATACAGTTTTAAATAGTAGATTAATTCATTAATAACATCTAGTATTAAAGATATATTTACATATAAAAGAAATAATGATATATATTTTTATAGAAATAATTATAGTACGTTATTTAAAAAACGTTTTTGTTTTTCCAAATCGTTTTTTCGTAATTTGTTTTCAATTATATTATAATTTGAATTTTACGTTTACTTAATAAATAACAGACATACCTAAACAAATAATCGCGATGTAGATATTGAGGATCTATATTAAATTCGAGATGTTGGTTACTGAATCTCAGGCTACCGAGACTCAGCACCATTGCCTGTTGTACAGCTGCAGGACCTCCGATCACTAGATGATAACAACCTTGTTTCTCCAATGTTATCAACCATGCCTCGACTATCTCATTCACGGCGTCGATGGTCGAGGTATCTTTCCATAAGCGAGGAGCGTCCCTAAACGAAAAAAATTATAATACGCATAAATTATTTTTAAACGGCGAACATGATTCTTCATCTACTTACAAGGTATGATGACCCCGATAGCAACCTTCGTTCATAGCAATGTTTTTCTCAACATCCTGAACACTCCGCGAAACCTGAGATAATACGTAATACATGGTAGAATTAATCTTGTGACCGTTGATAGCACCGTCAGCCTTGGAGTCACTTATCCTTAGACTCGTGTACCAATAACTCTGCCAGAAATTTACATGCTCCTCTCTTAAACGTTGCTGGCGCGCAATCGCCTTTCTTATAAACTGTACAAAGAATAATAATACATATATTTTTTTTTTTTACAAAAAATAATAAATTCCAAGAATTCTTCGTTTACTTACGTCAATTGCTTTCTTTTTAGTCGCATCGCGTTCTGTATGATAATGCTCGAACAAGATTGGCTCGCTGTATTGAATGCTTGACAAAAACTCCAATTTAATGGAACTGTGTGCTTTTACCTGCACTGTTTTAGGTGGAACCTTGTAAATTATCGATACAACTATTATTTTGTTGGAGTTGGGCGCAGATACGAATCCAGATAAGAAGGAGTACTCATGATTAAATCCATCGACTTGAATTCTATCATTATAAAATAGATAACGATAAATTAAAAAGAATATATTTTTAATTATTTATAATAACACTTTGCTTACCTGATGGGCTCTATGTGAGAATTACTCCAATGGATAGATTCCTGTGATTTCAGTGATATTTCTTGAGAAAGCGAAAATGGATTAGAAAGTTTTACAATCTGCACCAAAATCCCATCGAGACTTCTATGTGCATAATATTGGGATTCTATGTGATATCCTTCCCTAAGGCACTGATATTTATAAACAATCCCGTTTGTAAAATGAACGACGGTTGCTTCTCGGTAAAAACTATCTTTCGGTATAGAATGTGTGATCAATGGTTGCCACTGTACAGGCAGTAAAAGTGCTCTTCTATGTTTAATATACAGCCAAGCTTCCGGAGAAATAGGAACTCCGAAAATACCATTGCCAATGTATGGCAGATAAGAATGTTCATTCTCCTTAGGTGGATTGTGTAAAATATTTGCATTATATTCAACAGCATCAAAGTAGAAACTAGCCAATCTCTCATTCATGCAACGATCTTCAAATACTGTAGAAAAGTATATGTATTAGCACTATTAGCACTTCTGTAATAATATTACTACAGAAAGACTTACAGATGATTCTGTTTTATAATACAGTGAAATTTAATCAAAATATTTCAGATAGCTTGTATGAAAATAAATTTGGATTCAATGAATAAAAATATACATAAAAATTTCAATCCGTTGTAATCCATTTTTTATTTTGAGTAACAGTCCTGTACGAATATCTTAAGAAGTTTTTAAAGAAACACTCGAGGCAGTTAATTCTTTATTATTATCAGGCTGAAACTGACAGATTCACTCACCCTCTATAGGTTCCCCGGTGGAGGAGAAGAACCATTGCGCGAAGGGTGGGCCAAAATACAACAGCAGACCGCCGCATACCAAGACGATCAAGAGGATCTTACGGTACGAGTAATTACCATCCAGGACACGACGCACGCGCTTGCCGAATTCGCGGCCATCCAGCACCCCGGCGGTCCTCATCATCGCGAGAGTGTACGCGCGCCGGTGGAACGCGTATGACCGAGTACTGTCCCGTCGTCCAACCAACGGACATAACCTTACCGCCAAGAGAAGGTATTCGCATGAATCATCGAGGGATCCGTTTTCGTCCTACTGCTTTTCGTGTCTCACTCGGCTCGGCACGCGCTCAGAACGTCAGTGTGCATTGTCAGAGAACTGAGAGGAGTCCCACGACTTACACGTCGCGAATACATATAAACAAACGCCGGGTGGTGCAGTCAGGTGCGGTCTTCTGTGGTCAGGCAGTCTCACCCACATCAGCTGCAATCAGCTGTGAATGGACAAACGTCGTGGGCTACAGATCGCGCTCATTTCGCGCTCCACACCCGGTATGCTAACTGGCGCTAACTTTGCAATGCACTCTCTTTCGATGCGTTCACTTTTGCGCGTGCTTGAGAGAAAGGTAATTTATTTTTTGCCGAAATTAATAGTCACATCTAATCAAAGATTTATGTATATTGATATTTATAACAGCCTTTATTAATGAAAATACGTTTATTTACTTTTTTATACATATATCAATAATAATAACACTATGTATAATATTATTATTAATATTAACAATATATATAAATATTTTCAATTATTAATTTAAAATTCTTCAAAAAGGATAGTTTTAATAAGTTATTTAAGCTGAGGGGGGATTCATCAATCCCATGATGTAAGAAAACAAGGTATACCATTGCGCATAATGGCGACTGAATACTGGAGAAACCAATCAAATTTCGCCCCTAAATGTTGCACGAGATTCAAACACTGTACTAAGATCAGACTATTAATACTTAATAATGCTCTAAAAAACCGTGTAATACAACAATATGAAATTAAATTTGTAAGAATAATAATAAAATACTAAACCATGATGTACACCATGATGTACACCATGATTTCTTACACCATGATGTAAGAAATGTTTTCTTACATCATGATCAATCCCATCGTAAGTACAGACGCTCTTAAGGTAAGCCGGTACGCGCGTTATTTACAAAAATGTATAAATGTTTTTTCAAACAACTTTCTGAAAAATATTGCATGTTTATGGGGCCCTCGTGGTACATTCACCACTTGTCATATTGTCATGCCTGAGCGCGCGAAATCTCAGCTCTGTCATTAGCGAAATTTAAATGCGATTAATTTAAAAACTATTATAGCCTCGACATTTTATTAATAGAATTTTTCTTATAAAATTTTCTCAAAAATACGTTCCTAAGATTAAATGCGGTAGTTGCGGGACACCCTGTATATTTAATAAGAGATGAGAGATGCAGCGGAAAGCGAATGCGATTCGAAAATCGGCCGAAGGTAATTATTCGAGTATAAAGTACTGTCATAACTTCAGGTGAAAATGGAAAGCAACTTTCGAATGAAACATGGCCTGTGAAATTACGCGAAAAATAATTTTTGGAAATCGAAGTTTGTGGAGCGGGGCGATGGAGCGCGATGCGTCGCCCCTGTCCACTGCCGTGGCGCGGCCTGAAAAATCGAACATATCCAGTGCGAGTTGGTGCGAGTTAGTGCGAGTGCGTTCAGTATATATAAGCGTGCAATTGCACACAATTGACAATTGACGACTGTAACCTCGTCATCGAGGACACCCAAGTCGTTAGTTGTGACGTTAGGCACGGCGTGACAGCGGCTATGGCGAGGATGATGATAACGACGTTGTTCAACGACGGGCACTGACGACAGCTCCGGAGGACTAACCGCCGTCACGATCACATTCAAAACATTGATTGTCGACGTCGACACCCGCCGACATTCAACGTCCCTGGACCCCCCGATGCTTTACGTGCTCCCACCGATTCCCGGGGGATACATAGCTATACCGAATGTATAATCAGGCGAATTAGAAAGCGAGCATGTCTCGTTGCAGCGGAAAGTGCCTTCTGCACTCCGGAGCGTATACCATGGATTGAGAAGTACGCTTACATACAGCCTTCTAGTAATTGTTCGTTATCTAAATATCGTGCAATATTTGTTAATCAAGGATGGAGAGTGTTGTTACGTTAAATAGTGAATTAAATAACTTTGAAAGATATATATGATAAGATAAAGGCGAAGAATGTAGATTGTAATTATGATATTTTAGTATTGTACTGATATGAGTCGAAGAATTTGATATATGCCAAAAAAAAAAACATGTTTATTCAGAGGATTGTAATAATTTATGTCGCGAGAAAATGTAGCTTTTGATAATTATTGTTCAATCTTGATTAATAAAATTTTAAATATCTATTATTATTTTATTATAACAACTTATGATGATAATATCTCATAATTTATTAATGTTTCAATCATATTACTTTATATGGACTCTACTTACTGTTAGACAAGAAAATATTCTTTGATTTGTTAATATTGTCTTATCAATATGTTAATTGCAATACTATTTTGAACTTGGACTATTAATTTTTTAGTTTGTTCAGTGTTACTGCTGTCAAGTATCTGGTAAATACCTGATGATGCATATGAATAGTCAATGTACAAGGAACTGGCAAAATGCAAATGATGGTGAGATAACTGAAGATTCATCCTGAAATACTATACTTATTTGAGAAAGGACCAATATAGAATACAGACAATATGTTTGGTTGTCCTAGAGAGGCTGTGCGTGTTAAAGTCAAGGTATGTATGGTCAATTAAGAATTTCCAATTAACATACATTTTTATTCTAATAAAATAATAAAATAAAAGATTTTTATTTATAAAGTTTATGTTACACTAAACTTAAAACTGGAACAACAAATTACAATAATAACTATACTGACAAAGAGCCTGTTCCAATTTAATTCAGCTTAAATAGTCATAACAAGCCCTTTGCAAGTATTCCAAAATTTCTAAAATTATTTTTGAAATGAAAATTCTAATATCAAAAAGAATATAATGATTTTTAAATGAGAAATATTGAACGTTAATCATATTGGAACTAATCAAGTTATTGGAACTAATCAAGTTGTTTGAAATATATGCGCCTAGCTCCTATATTCTATAACTTGTTATGTAATCATTATGTGCTCATAACGACAGTTGTGCAAATAATTTTTATAGTAACAAGCTGCACAACTGTCGCTACTAACACATAACAACTGCATAACAAGTTACAGAATACAGTTTATTCTTCATTACATAGTAATGTATGTCATTTATTTACTCTTCATGTAATAGTTTTGATATGTATTAAATTTCATTGTTCATACTCAATGTTCATACAAACTTTTTTATTCCTGCGTCTCTAGATTCTCTTAATAAAAAATGGTTTATTAATTTGAGTGATATAAATATTCCCATTGAGGTTCAGTATTTGTTACAATTAGGTGAAGGCTTCGGTCTTTCTGTGAATAAATATAATATTGACTGCACAATAATCGAATTAATAAAAAGCATTGAGAACAATATAAAAGGTCGCCCTGATAATATCTAACTTTGTTAGAAGTAATACCATTGTATTAGAGTATTAGTAATTAATATAATAAAATGCACAAAAAGAAGTAACTGCAACAATGATGTATACATAATTATATCAAGAATAGAATTGATGATTGAGAGCATCTTCACTATACAACATACTATGTGTAAATTATTCCATATATTATATGTTATTATCAAATAATTAGATTGGTTAATTTTAAGTATTTCTTGTTTAAAAATCATAGCTTTGACATTTTGATATTGAGATATTGGGATTCAAAATCGTCTCAAAATGATCTTAAGAGTTTGTCGTTAATTTTGTTATCACGCAAAATCTAGATTATGTTTGGCTATATACAATTTTGTTTTTATAAATGTCTACTTTAAATATAGGATTAACAACAAATAATGACAGAATAGTTTATCCTTTTTTTTCAGAAATGTGAAACTAGACATCAACCAGAATACCGTAAATTTAGTGTGGATCCTCAAATAACATCAATAGAAGTACTGCAAAGTATTCTCATAAAGGCTTTTGACATAAAAGGGTAAGTTATATTAATAATAATAAAATCTGCTATAATATGATTTGTGTGTGAATGTTGAATAATATTTGAATGCAATCATTTGAATTCCGAAAATAATAAAATTTTTTTTCAAAAGATGTAAACGATGGGTTTACGTTTTTTTCTGATTCATATAAAAAAGGATTATAATAAATAAAAAAAAATTGTTACATCTTTTCATTAATTTTTAATAAATTACATCAAAATTTGAGAATTTCGATAATAGAAATTGAACGGTTATCAGCACTTTTCGATGTAAAAAGTGAATGATCATGCTGCACTTAAATAATTAAATATAGAGTATGTTCCATTTTGCGTTTATAGCACTTGTAAGCATTATTTGTCCTTGCTTAATATTTGATAGACAACAAGGATCAACTGATATTTACAGTGTATGAAAACGGAAAGCATCTATAATATATACATTATATTTATTACATATAGATAAGATGTTTAGATAAAAAAAAACATTTGAGAAGATCTTTAAATAAAAAAAGATACAATTTTTATTAATATGTAAATTAATTTGTATTGAAATACATAAATAATTTCTATTGAAATATTATAATTTTAACAATGTGCATATAATTCTTTTTATTCATAATATGATTAGATTGATATATGTACATACGCTATGTTTTATCAGTCAAATCATCACATAACAACATAAAACATTACAAAAGAATTACTTGAAATAAATATTTTTATCGAATCATGCTATAAAATATTAAACCGAATGCCGTAAAATTGTCACGTGCCATAGGGAATTCACCGTTTCGTATCGAGCGATTGATGACTATGGGTCAGAGACGTATCTCTTCCTACTCTCGGACTGGGACTTGGATGCCGCATTTATCAGGTGACTTAATTAATTTTTATCACGAGAATTGATTAATTAATTTCAATAATTAATAATTTAATAAATAATAAAACACATAACTGCTTCTCTACATTATAAACATTTTAGTTTAATATATTTTTTTCAGCGCATCCGAGCCATATCTCTATCTGCAGGTGAATTTAAAACCCTTCGGTGAAACTGGAGACTGCGAGTGCTACTGGGAGCAAAATGCGCAAGAAGTTTTGACACGTCAGCAGGAGACTGGGTTTCCTTACAGAACACCTAAGTTGCCCGGTCTCATAATGAATAAAGTAAGTGCCGCCTCGCGTCAATGACGACCAGCAATAAGACAACATTGAAGATTTCACAAACTCCTATTACTTCAGTAGAGGCAAAACACAAAAATTTGTTAATTCCTTTTAAGTTTATATTTTTTTATTTAAGAATCATACTTTTTTAAATTATTTTAGTTTTTAAGTTTGTTTTTATTTTTTTTCATAGTTCTCAAATTATTAATCCTCTTTTATTTTTTGTATATTATTTTTATTATATTTTATTATTTTACCACACACACATTTTATGTTATTTCTTTATATTTTCATTATTATTATTACAGTTATCAGGTGTATCCAATTTCGCGTTTAATCTTTCGTCACAGATGGAAAGAACGCTGAATATGGTGCAACGTGCATTGGGCAACTTGGGCGACGAGTCGTCTCATCAGCAAAATGTTCAACCTCCAAGACCACCTTTGACGGACGCTGAATTTCGTCGATTTCTGGATCCGATCGGCCAAGTAGTGCACTCCAAGGAATTAAGGGCAGTTATTTACTTCGGCGGGATTGAACCTAGTTTACGCAAGGTAGTCTGGAAACATATCTTGAACGTGTATCCAGAAGGAATGTCGGGTCGCGAACGGATGGATTACATGAAGAAAAAGGCGCAGGAATATCAGAATCTGCGCGAACGATGGCGAGTGCTGGTGCAAAAGGGACAGAACGTCGGTGATCTCGGCTACGTCACTGGTATGGTAAGGAAGGATGTCCTCAGAACGGATAGGCATCACAAGTTTTACGGTGGTTCAGACGACAATCAGAACACAGCGAGTCTCTTTAACATTCTGACGACGTATGCCTTAAATCACCCGAGTGTAAGCTACTGCCAGGGTATGAGCGACTTGGCTTCACCTCTTCTCGTTACGATGCGGGATGAGGCACAGGCTTACATCTGTCTCTGCGCTCTCATGAGAAGATTGAAGGATAACTTCATGCTCGATGGTATCGCCATGACTACCAAATTTGCTCATCTCGCAGAAGGTAGATTATCATTTTTTAAAAATGTCTAAATTTATTTATTTTCTAAGTTTCAGTTTTGTTTACAATGCTCTATACTCTCTATAATTTTCATTTCTATTTTAATATATTTTTATCTTTATAATACTCCTTGATAATTATATCGATATTAAGATATATTTCCTTGCAGGTCTTCAACATTATGATCCTGATTTCTATGCATATTTGAAGTTGCATCAAGCAGATGATCTACTCTTTTGTTATCGTTGGTTGTTATTAGAAATGAAACGTGAGTTTGCATTAGACGACGCACTTAGAATGCTCGAAGTTCTATGGGCAGCTTTGCCAGCGTCACCGCCGACCGGCGAATTGAGTCTTGCCGAGGTGCCTTTTCCGCCAGCATCGCCGCCGCCGAGTCCGAATGTGAAGCATATCCGTGAAAACGCTTATACTAAGGTCTGCGCTATTAGACGACAAAGTTCCTCAGCCAGTATTGCCGCTAGCGTGAGACGAAAGGCCTTCAGTACCGAAGAACCGAGTCTGCAATCATCTACTGAAGTTAACGGAGAAACGAAAAGGTTGCTTGTTTGCACAATTATGCAAATTTATACTTAAAACTAGTTTCCGAAGCTTTGCTTTTTGGATAAAATATATAATTTAGACAAATTTGTAGAAGAAATACACAAAGAAATATAAACGAAAGATATAAATGAAAAATATTTATGTCCATACAATAATATTTAATAATTTTCCGATTCTATCTTTTTTGCACTGTTAATTAAAATTTATGTAATAAACGACAACTTTAATTCTTCTAATCAAAATGTCTATTTTCAGATCCAACTCGCCTTATGAAGCATTCTCCGATTCAGAGAATGATTTAACTAGCACGAAAAACAGGAGAAATAATGAATCGACAGAAAAGTGCCTAAGTACTGATTCTCTTCCAATTAAATCGAAACGCGCAAATCTTTTGGAATTGAAAGAAAGACTGAGTACTCCTAATAAAGAACAGACTAAAAATAGTGAACAGAATGATAGTTCTGGTGAAAAGAAATGTGCGCGAGTGGTAAAGAATTTAAATGAGTTCTTAAACTTTACTAGTCTCAATCGTAATAAAGTCACGCCCAGCGATGCTGAACCTGAACTCAGGTAATTACTTTCGTAGAAAATTAATTGTTAAAAAAGCATAAAACGCAAGATCACACAGTGCAAAAGTATATTTAAATAATTCTACTAATGTAAAAACGATAAACGTTTCGACCATGTATCAGGTCATCAATATCTAAATTATAAACAATGTTCAAACGTTACATATGATGTAAATAAGACATGAAATGTACAGTACTTGACGCCACATAAATGAATTATCTTATGATTAATAATCATTTTTTCTGTGTGTGTGCGTGCGTGCATGCGTGTGTGTGTGTGTGTGTGTGTGTGTGTTGTGAAAATCCACGCAGTGTATAGTTCTAATTATTCCTTGTCCTCTCGGTATTATAATTTGTTTGATTGTTTTATTGTTCGATTAAAAAATTATCGTTGATAATATATTTATTACAATATTTCTCTAGTATTAACATCAAGAACACTTATGAGATAAAAGTAATATGTTTATTTAATTCGTAGAACATATTTCTTTTGTAGCTCAAGATATTCTTGTATTTTATCAAATTAAAGCGATTCAAAATTATATTTCATTATCACAGACGTGTCTCAAGTGAAAGTGGCGTCATCAGAGTGTTGAGGGATGAACCGAGTTCGCCAGATGATCCTACGGATTTTTTTCCGATGACCACATCAATGACTAGAGAATTAAGACTAGAATTGGAATCGTTAGATCGACAAGTGTTTGGGCCTTCGCCGCCTAGTGAACTACAATGCGATTGTGTGCTTTCAAAAAGAGAAAATGATTTACCAGAGAGCGAGACAGAGACAGAATTGGCAAGATGCAGTCCAGCGGCGGATGTGTTTGTATGGGAAAATCCTTTACACACGTTACAACAGAAGCATCATCCCACGACTCCGGACGAGCAAGCGGAATTGGAATACGACGGTGAAATTTTGGAGGATCAGAATGGCGTGAAATCCGTTACGCCGATTAGGCTGCTCAAACGTACCACTAGGTAGGTACATATTTCCATTTATAAAGATTTATATATTTGGAAATTTTAAAAGTAAAATTCATAAGCAGAATTTATAAGTAAAACTTTCTGCTAAAAGTTTAATTGCTTGGAGAAAAATTTCTAAATTAAAAATCTCTTTGAGATTTTATTTTTTAGTAAATTTCATCTATCTTCTTTACTTTTTTGCATAATGCTTTCAAGATATCGATGGAAAATATCTTTATTTTATATTTATATGTGTATCTCCTTTATCTTTATATAAATATACAAGATTAAAGTCTCTATCGGTATATATTATTAAAATTTCAAAGAAATCAATACTCAATATAAGAAGTGTGTTTTTAAATATTATTTTTATTGAAACGCTTAATTTATCTTTCAGATCTGAGTCGGCGTCAGATAGTGAAGGAACCGAGAGTTGGCATCAGAATCCACCTGTACCAGGAAGTCCGACAAAACAGCAACAGGCGCAACAACAGCAGCAACAGCAACAACAACAACAACAGCAACAGTCTGTACAAGAACAATGCGAGGAAGTGACAGAGCTGACTAATCTCATACCTGCAGGAACAAGCGAGGACCAACTGGGCGAAAGTTCATTGCCGCCACCGCACGAATTCGGTGGCGGCAATCCCTTTCTAATGTTCCTGTGTATCACTCTTCTGCTGCAACATCGGGACTTTGTTATGCGCAATCAAATGGATTATAACGAGATGGCAATGCATTTCGACAAGATGGTTCGCCGTCACAATGTGATCCGTGTACTTAATCAGGCGCGGCAATTATTTGCCGGTTATCTCAGGAGACATTCCGTCGCTTCGTCCTCCTCGGCCGGTTCGACTTCCGCCAGCAAGGCAGACTGCGTGAACGTGTAATTCTACCAATCATCTTTAAAAAAAGCCTCAAGTTTTAATTTGAGATTTCAGAATTATTTCATTCAAAATGTACAAGATTCAAACGACACATATCATGGACGATTATATGTTGTCGATTAAAATTCGGAAGGCTTAAGAGGACTCGAGAGTAATGCTCTTCCGCTCACAACATACGTGGAACATTTATGACACTCGTACATCATTCGCAGTTGTATCGCATGAGGAATGTTTCTGATTAACCATTTTTTCCTTCGTATTTCTTTTTCTTTTGGTATATAATAGAGATAGACTTCTTTTAAATAATTGAATAAAGGTAAAATTCTCCATTGTAGACATTGAAAATATTCAAATCTAGAGGCGACAACGAATAAGTGACCAATAATGCGAAAGCAATAAAAGCAATGTATTTGCAATCATATTATATATAAATATTTTAGAGCCTTTTTCGTAAGAGCAATTTTTCAAGATAAATTGAATAAAGAAGAAAAGACGATTGATCAGAGACAAAACCACTTAGGCCCGTACTTATTAGCAGTTAAGATAAAAGGATTTGTTGAGAGAGCTAGGGATACAACGATCTGAAACGCTTTAGTTAATTCGCGAACGGCATGCGTAGCCCCGTTCGCTCACGCACGTTATTATTCCATCACGGCATAATGCACTTCATCATCCGCATGCATCGACGAACCCTCTTTCGCTGTACCTCGAGATAGAATTAAGCCCTTAGCTTAATGCATTCGGGCAACGATGGCGTTGCACGTTCTCGAATGCGTTAAATTTGTAAAATACATCTATATCTATCCTAGCAGCTGAGTTTTACTTTGTTTTCAAATAATACGTTTGAGAAACAGACAATAAAGTGCATTTAATTTTATTGCTGATTATAAACTTTTTTATCATTAAATCTAGAAGACCTGTTGTTCAAATTACAAAGATACTCTAAGATAGTTCTAGCGTCTTCTAACAAGCGTGTAACTAAGTTTCGTTCGTTGAATAATTAAATGCTCTTACATCTGCAATAATATCTACATCACAAGGAACGTTAAATTTCTGAAGGTATATCTCGTAAAAATAATTTTTTTTTACTAATCAATAGTATAATACATAAGACATGTAATAAACATGTTAGTAAACAAGTTCGAAATTTATGTTTTTTATAGTTACATTTCTTCTAGATTTATTTCTTCTGTATTTATTTTCTGTTTAAAATATGAGTTTTTTTATTTATGAAATGTATATTTTATTTTGTTTGTAATTAAAAATATATGTAATGTATTGTGGCGATTGCATATCGTCACAAGTTTAAATTCCGCAAGAACAGTCGTTTAGAGACAACACACACTTGACATAACAAGAAGAAACAGGTAGACGCGAGATTAAATACAAATAGCCTTTTAAATTCACGAATTTCTTGTGACCAATTTTCATCGGTTTTATAATACACGAGTCGCGGATAGGAAAGTAAAGGCTAGATGAGTAAGAACTTACCAAAATTCATATAAATTATTTTGGAAATTAATGTGTTTTTTTTTTATTATATACAGTCACGATTCGGTGAATTCTCCGGTAAATTCCAAGAACCAGTAAACTTTCGTATAATTTGTATCGTTATCGAACATTCTTGTCTAAGCGAGTGAATTTAAATCGAGTACACTTTCTTTGTCGCATCTCCGCGCGCTTGTGAATAAATTAACTATTAATATACATCACGAAATTATATAATCTATTTTTCTTTTATTTTTTTCTGGTGACCCGAACGATATCTAAGAATCCACTGCTCACATTCACCTTTCCTTCAATTTCTTTTATACACAGTGATCAATCTATCTTTGACGGAGTCGAAAGACTAAAATATGTATAACACTAATAAGAAACATCATCTGTAATACTAGAAAATTAAAAGACTGTTAGTGTATTAATAATAACTTTTCCACTTGTAAAAGTAAAATGAATTCAATATTTGCAGTAGAGTCTATAATAAATATAAAACACGCACAAGTAATATCCTACTATCTATTCAAGTATAAATAGATTTTACAAAAATTTTTTATTAATAAGAAATTGCAATTTTCCTCAGATAATCAATAACTTTCTTGGAAGTCATTGAATTAAGGTAATTACTCATTAATTATCCATATATATGATAAAATTTGTATTATATTTAATTATACTGATTGCAAATTTCATTATCCGATAACGTCTTACAAAAAAAAATTTTACGATTAATCTAGCGATTCGCGAAATAGTGCAATGCTTTTTTCGGTAAATTCGTTTCGGACGAAAACGCGTTATAATTTTATCGACTTTTAAACCGTGTGATTAAATTGAATAATTACTCATGTTGATAACCATCATGTTGATATCCATTATGATCCATTACAATTGAGAAATATATTGAGAAATTTCCAATTTCGAAAAGTCATGCACAGCGCACTCTCAGTACTCTCAGTTCCGATCGCGCTTGCGCTTACAAATAGCAATCAGTTGTAATTTCGTTTCGTGAGTTTCGTCCGTGGTTTCGTACCTACCAGCACCAACGCTGCGGGAACTACGTACCACGTCCATTTTCGTGAACCGCCGTCTCGTCGATAAAATCGTATCGTCGAAAGTGGACGTGGTTCGGGTCCGTGTTAAATCAGGATAAAGAAGATTTGCTCAGTATGAGTGAGCGCGACAGCTCGATACGTTCGTTCTTTTCTCGTTCGGCAACCTTTGACGCATCGAGAGAGAGCGAGACAGCGAGACGCTACGTCACGAACGTCCCGTCCTTCTCGCTCGGTCGCTTGTTTCGAGCGACTAAAAATGTTTTCTCGGAGATTTCGAGGTCGACCTCATTTTTTTAAATGGAATTATATGAATTTTTTCACTATATATGATTCCTCTAATTATTCTGTACATAAAAGTATCAAGGTAGAGATATAAAAGAACCAATAGTTTACGAGATATTTTACATATTCTTTTGGTACATAAAATGTTTAATAACTCGTGAACTATTGACTTTTTGATAATCGTACCTTAATGCTTTACGGGGCTGATATTTTATCGGTCGACAATGCTTTTCAATGGCTGCAGAACAGAATGATTCTCAGATTATCTATTCTTGAAAAGAAACGTATATGTATGAGTGTTCTTTTTCCGAGTCATTAACAGATTGGTACTCTGGAATTACAAGCAATTATTTTTCATTGCACGGGCTAGTATAAATTAAATAAATTTCAAATCAAATCTCAATAACCGACTTTTATATTTTGTGCACTAAGAATAACATATTGCAGAAATTTTTTAGAAAACTGTAATATGCAAATTGTAATCTGTTTTACTTATATGTATGTATGTTCATTTTGAATTTGCACCTTGAATGATCTATTAGTTACTTTTCGTGGTACATATTCAACATAGAAAATATAC